ACGCAGGGGGTACGAGTTTGGCTGACAATCGTTTATGATAATACGACTTATAAACTACCTTTTGCAAGTAAATTTATCCATAAAAGCGATGGACCCAAATTTTTGCGGTGGGCTCTCGCACTATTAGGAATTAATTTGGGAACATTGATTTGAGAAGTGATTGTGACGAGTTTAAAAATAACATAAAACTTAAAATGCGAGAATCAAGTATCCTCTGAGCGGAAGTCAAATTGTCAAATCCGTAAGAACTTGCTTTATGGTTTTCTCTGTTATGTTACAAACACATCATTAAATATTGTGTATATATAATAATCCTTTGTAATAATATATATTTAGAATGATACTAAAAAAATATTTCATCTTGATCCGCTTGCGAATTTCCATTCGTGCCCGCCGAGAGTCCATTCAAGACGTAACATTGCACGGAATTACGACTGTTACGAAATTGGTGCAACAGCTGGTTGCGACAGAGGAATCCGCGCGGGGATTCCGACAGCCGATCAGGTCTAATCAGGTCGATCGGCACGTAGCGCTATAAAACCGTGCGCCGACGATCAGTGTGTCAATGTAAAGTGGAAACGACCTTCCAGTGTCAGCGACCAGCTCCGCTCGTCTTGAGGACGACGTCGTCGGCTTTAACGTAGCTGGCGAACGTTACGCGACAATACCAAGGACCAACTTCGGGGCATTGTAATTGTGCACGCGCTACATACCCGCCATGTAGAAAGCGTGCAATCGGTCGCAGGGGCGCTCTTCTTTCGCCGGACGCCGCGCCGGTGAACGATCCAAAGGAGATTGTTAGTTGAGAGCTCGTTAGCTTGAAGAAACCCCCAAAAGATTTTAGCAGTTTGGATTAATTTGGAGTTTAGAAACACCAATTCGAAAGATTACTACTATTATTTTCTACTCTTACAAAAGTTTAGAGAATACGATTCAAAGTAATACAATTCAAGTTATATTATCAATTAGATTACTAATTGTTATATTTTATCAGAATTTTACGATATTAAAAATTTACCTATTCTATTATAAATTTGCAGAAGATTATGGGATTATTTAGATCTTACATATTAACATTTATATATACTTTTCTAAATTAGTCGACTCGGCGTAGCCAAACCTCTCTTTGTTATTACAAATCGTAATCAATTTAATTCACGTGATATTACACGTAAATACATGTCTACGAGCAGCTGCCTGCCTGCCTGCCTGCGCAATAGACACGACGCCTGCGTCAGCGATTCTTGCACAACGTAAAAGTTTCATCAGTTCCGCAAATAGTCACGCAAATACGGAAATGAAGCCGGTCGCTTTCGGAGGCACGAACGATTCCCAATCCCAAGTTGATCTATCGATCCGACCCTGATTCTCTATCTGCGCATGGTGACAGACGCGCGACGCAAGGCGATTGTCTACGTGACTGTCGTTAGCTTCCTGCCTGACGTGTCCCACATATATCCGCTCTTCCTCGCGCGTTAACGTCTTCGCGTCCTCGCGATGTCGACTTGCCCGCTCGCGCTTTCGATTTTTCACGCAGGCTCGACCCGCGGGGACACAGTTTGCTCCATTAACACATTTAATGTCAATGATCTTTTTATTTGTCACTTTCACGAGAGTAGAAACACCTACGTTACGTTGCCGAGAATGGCATCAGATTTTTATTGAAGCGTCAGAATGAGTTCTCTCTTTCAATCCCCGTTTTCTCTCGTAGCTACGTTGACTTCAGCCGGAAATTAGATAGTATACACTATACGTCAATAAATTATTTCTCATTATAGACAAAAATAAATTGAAATCCAAGCAAAACAAATTTATAATTACTGCTTTTTTCGCTTGATATCTAGGTGTTCCGATAGCCGACGAATCCGTTGAGACGACCACGATAGGAGATATCGGAAATGTCTCGGAGTCGACTCAGTCGACCATAGTTCCCGAAGCGGAGGCCCAGTCCATGGACGACATACTGCCGGGAACGAAACCGCCGCCGATCGCCGTAATGTTCGTCGACATCCCGGAGCACACGGAAACGACACTGGGCTCGTCCGTGCTGTTGGCATGCCGGACCGCTAGTCCTGTGGCCGAATGCCAATGGTCCTGGCAGCCATTACCACCGGTTCACCTGCCGCTTCCGGACGTCAGTGAAAGCCCATCGGTTTCTACGAGTAAGCGCAATATCACATTGTTTTTTTTTTTCTCGCATGGTTATTCCTTCCGTGGCGAAATCAATTCCTGATTTCGCGTAAGAATCAGCAAATAATAATATTACAAATTCATGTAAATTATTTAACTGTAAAAAGTCCGACGCGTTTCGCAGCAGTTCATTAAAGTCGTCAGGAAAGTATCTCCGCTTTAAATTTTAAAGATTTTTTAGTTTAATGCAATCATAAATTCAACGCTGGGGTTAATCGAGTCACTTTTAAAATTTTTCTATGTTTTTTCTTATCGCCTTCCTCTAGTTCGCGTGATATAACTACTCTTATAGACGGGCAGCCTTATCTTTCTATGCTGGATATCGCTCATAATTCTGTAATCGCGCGCTGAATATTCATCGGTGCCGTTCGCTCGATCACCTCTTCTGGTGATTTCAGCCACGACGAATCCGACGATCGCGACCACGGCAACTCCCACGACCCACCCATTGCCCGTACGACAGTTTCCCGCGTTCGGGAACAACAGCAACGATTGCTCTGTGAGATTCTCCAGCACCAAGCACGAGCAGATAGGATACTGGACCTGCGCGGCGAGAGCCTCGACGAGCGATCCTTTCACCAACACCGATCCTGCCAAGCTCAGCATCGTCAATGCTAACGGTAGGATGCTTAATCTTGTTAATCTTATCAATTTTGAAAATGTACTCAATTTTTTTAGCTAATATCTTAATACCTCAGACAAATTCAATTAAATTCCGCTTAAGTTCGTTTCGCTTTTTTTTTTTTCATAGAACATATTGATGTTTGTAACAGGAAAATACTTATTTTTAATAAGAATTTTTTTAAATTAAAATTGAACATGTTTTTTTTAGTGTTACAATGATAAAATTATTTTTCTTTTTTTCGGTTCTTTTATTAATGCTATATCGATAAACTAATGATTAATTAAGCTTTCGGAAATTCGATAAAACCATCGTCCAGCTTTTAAATCGTCCTATATGTTTTCTGGTATTTCGCGGGGAAAAGCTGCTTTAACCATAGTCCCGTTCTTCGATTACAATTTTAATCGCGTGAGCGCGATGTATTTACGCAGTTGCTTTCGGACGACCTCGAATTCTTGGTGACAAAACACGCTTGACATCGCTATTTGTCTTCACCAATTGTGCCGAGATGCATGGTTATATATATTTTTCATTAAAAACTTGGTGACACAAAATATCGTCGTTACACGTTGTGTTTCAATATTTGATTAAGAGTGCTAAATTATCAGTTATGTTTAATTTCTCTTGCTTATATCCTTATATTCAGGTAAATTAACATTCAGTTTTGATAACGATCCCTCGAATGAGTCATCCAAAAAGTGAAAGACACGTGAATCATGGAAACGTTCTTTCCATACGAATTTGGTTCACTTTGATAAGAATCGCGAATGAATCATGCAAACATATACATTTCCTTCTAGAAAAAGTAGATTTCGAATTAATTGAAGAATCTAAAAATAAAAGTGTCAGGCGTCATGTTGAAAAGAATGAAAAGAGAGAGAGAAAGAGAGAATTAATTGCTTGCAACGAGTTTCATTTCTAATTCGTTTCCCGAGTTGATCAACTTTCGAATCCCCCGTTTTCAAGATTTATGTAAGAGATTATCCACGAGATGCAACTGGTGCGTTCGCACGTTTCAGAGATCGTCATCACGTTCGCGACGCACGAAAATGTCGTCGAAGTGCCGGCGGGATCCTCGGCGCAGATAATGTGCCAGACAAAGTTGCCGGTGCGCGAATGCCAGTGGTCCTGGCGGCAGCTGAACCAGTCGCAACCCTGGAACCTCGACGTGAAATCGTTCCCAGCCTTTGGTAATGACAGCAAGGAATGCAGCATCAAGTTCAAGAACGTCCTGCCGGAGCAGGAAGGCTACTGGACCTGCGGTGCGCGAATAGACCCGAATTCCTCCTTCACCCAGGCAACCCCCGTCCGTTTTCTCATATCGGAAGGTATTTAATTAATTATGCTGTCATTTACACATGTATCATTTTTATATTGACGCAGATTGATTGATTGCGTGAATAGAATTACATAATACATAATCGAGAATACAGTTTGAGAAAATATAGGAATAATTATATTTTTTTATATTTCATATAATTGTCTGATGTTAATATTGTAGATCGCGTTTAACAACGTAAGACAAAGCTTAGTGTTCTGCTATATTCTCACAAGTTAAATAAAATCGACACTCGAACATTTTATCAAATAATACAACTAATAGTCATCTCTCAGTGATATTAATGATGTTTCTTACATGACCTGTATTTAAAATCAATCGCTTCTGATCAATTCGTAATAATCGTTGAACATTGAAAAATATACTCGCATTTATCTTGCATCACATACCGTGACTTCGATCGATCTTATGCCACGCGTGCCACGCGTTCCACGAATGAAGAAAACCATCGAAGAGCTTTCGTTTCCCTTTTATAGTCGAGTTCGTGCAGTTGTCGCGCGGCGTGCAGGTTGCGGCCGGCGAATCGGTCTTCCTACGGTGCCTGGCGAACAAGCCGGTGGTACAGTGCGAGTGGTCGTGGAGGGCGTCGAACTCGAGCAAGGAACCGCTGCTGGTGAAGAAGTTCAGTCCAAACAAGGACGCCGAACACGACTGTTCCGTGCGATTCAAGAACATACTGTACGAGGAGGAAGGTCTGTGGACCTGCGGGGTACGTTTGACGCCCGGCGGTATCCTGCACACGGCGCCCGCGGCGACTGTCAGCCTCCTGCCCACAGGTACGCGCGACCCGACACAGCTACGTTTAATTAAGAAATAAATTTGCCCAAACCCTACAATCGCGCGCGGCCCGATAACAACCCGTTATCGAGTCGTCCGATCCGATCCGCCATGCAATTACGAGCGCCGCCGTGCGAAAGAATACTCGCGTAATTACGAATGGATTGATGTCTTGACGTGAGATGATGAAAATTGATTGCTCGCACGCAAAAAAGAAAAATACTAAAACGGTGTTAGCGTTAGGAAATTCGAAGTATCATTGCGTAATAATGTCTGTTTCAAACATTTGCACATCTTTCTGCCTAATCGCAAATTAAAAGGCGGAGTCTTATTCAGAATCTTAAGTCTAACTAATGGAAAAAAAGCGATTCGGTATGCTTCAAGACATCGATATCGGAATTCAGTATAAATTCGATTTCGCATAATTCGACTGCACTTTCCCTCCGTACATTTCACCTTTCTCTCGCGTTTCATGCCTAATTTATGTAGCACTTTACGTTAGACGAGAACTAATCGTAATACAATTGTAAATTGCAACCGTATGGTGCAATAATGCTAATTGAATTCCATTTCATTTGATCTTCTCTTGGAAGAACATTTTATTGACTGTAAAATGGAAAGCTGTCAAGTATCAAAATTAAAAGTTTTACGTAAAAGATATACGTATAAGTATATAAATACTATTGCTTAATATATCTGATTATAATTTTTTACTTATCATAATATTATTAATTTCAAAGAAAGAGCAGATATTTTTAGACTCCTATATCTCATTCCAAATTATCAGCTTCAATATTATCTCATTTTTCTTTTAATTGTGTAGCTGAGATTATCTAAAAAATGGTGGACAATCGTATTTTCTAGGTGCTTTCGGCAATGAAATAAAAATAGAACCCTCACGTCATTCACCCAAATCCACATTTTTTTTGCGTCTCTTATCGCAACGGCCGATTCCAGCTAAGGTGAGCTTCGTCGAGGTGCCGACCGACACGGCGGTGCCGGTAGGCGCGGAGGCCACGCTGAAGTGCGTCACCAGCAGCCGCGTGGAGAAATGCGTGTGGACCTGGAAGCCGTTACACGGCAGCGATCCGGAGATCGTCCTCGACCGATTCCCGAGCAACGGTGATCTCGGTCGCGACTGCTCGCTCCATCTTTCGCATGTGTACTCGGAGAAACAGGGTCACTGGAGCTGCCAGGTAGCCATCGTGTCGCTCAACACCGTCCTGACGTCGCCGCCCGCGAAGCTCATGGTCTACGAGCAAGGTAAACAGAGATACATCCTGACCCCCCTACATTTTTATAGAGTCTTCTCTTTTCTTGTGACTTTTAATTTTTATTTTAATTTATAACATTCAAATTGATTCTTTCTAATGTATCGCTAATATTTTTATCTCCTTCCAGAGGAGGTAAAGTTCTCGGAGCTGTCGCAGGATATCCAGATCTCCTCCGGCGGCAGCATTCTGCTGCGCTGCGTGACGTCCTCGGCGGTGGAGCAGTGCCGGTGGTCGCTCACCCCGGTCAATTCCAACACCACCGTGGTGGTGAAGCAGTTCCCGGCGGCCGGAAACGAGGCCCGCGACTGCAGCGTCCGCCTGAGCCACGCTCTCGCCGAGCAGGAGGGCCTCTGGACCTGCGGCGCTAGGGTACACGGCCAGCAGAACTACACGGACGCGCCGCCCGCGAAGCTGACCCTCCTTGAGCCAGGTATCATCGAGACCTAAGACGGTCGGTTTAGTGCCGCTTCTCCACCGCGCTACGGTGAAGGGTGGAAGCACCATTAATCGATCGTCGCGCGCGATTCCGGCGCGCTCGGCCTGGGCTAAATCATGCGCCGTAAATCGCTATTGAATATCGTAAATTGCAAGCGATCTAAATGTCCAGGGGGTACAGAGGACCTGAGAATACTGTGTTATTATAATCAGCGGTTGCCTACTTCCTTCTCAGACTGTGGACTCTTTTAGCTGAGTCTTTGAAGCGTACTGAGCTGGTCTCTTTGTTCCTTCTAGCACTTAGATCCTTCTTTTTAATTTACAGTATTCGATATTTGTAATAAATGTTCACGCATTCCACGCATCTTTAGTATTTAGATTCTCTTTTTTTTTTTTTAATTTACAGTATCCGATAATTGTAATACATGCAATCAAATTTCACAACTCAAAACACGAGGACTTTGACCCATCACCATGCAATAAAAATGAGATTTTAATTCTTACGACTTCATTTTGATCATGGATTTTTAATCAATGACAAAAACGGACTGAATCGATGACACATTACACAACAAGTTTCAATTGATTGGAAACAGCTTTATCATGGAATGTACATATTCTACCCAAGGCGTCGGATTAGACTACAATAAATTTTGTCGAAGTGCCTCGCGTGAGAAGAATCTCGCGTGCAAGAAACGCATATAAGGACCATGCATACGCGAGCTGTCAGGCGTAAAAGGACCTCTCGCGTGTGGAAGAACTTTGTTCCTTCGGTTGCACCGATCAGACGTCTGTCTGTTTCATGAAACTCGCACAAATTGACAGGCAACGTAACGAGACCTGGTGATCACGGTAACATAATGATTTAACAGATGTTACTGAGATTAAAACGACGCAAAATTTCTTCATCTCTCATCCTTAACTTTCAAGTTATCACCTTTACCATATTTTTCATGTTTTTAATCGTCACGTTCAGTTGAGTTTCATGAAATGCGCTCAAGACTTTCGTCCCAAAGCCCCGGCTAGAGTCGCGTCTTTGCGTTCGATCGATTAAAACAAAATCTTAGGAGACATGTATTATATACGTGATATTTCAGGATCCGTGGCCTTGTCGCGACGACTGTCGCAACCAACCGCGATCGCGAGTGCATCGAGGAGAGCTGTGTCGTGAACTTTGCACGCGTCGCGGCGTATGCGTGTACATAAGTGTGTAGGCCATGGATCCTGACGCACGTCTTTGCAATCCGCAAGGTAGACGAAGCTTCTTCGGCACAAACATCATTCGGACGGTCTCGTGTCGTAGCGAGCTAACAGTCGGAAAACGTTACTAGACGAAATTAGTAAGTTGCCATGGAATTGGCATATCTCCCTCTGGCTTCAAGAAATCGATTTTCCTACAGAATTATTATAATTTTTATATTTGACATTGATAACAGATTATGTAAAATTTCGCAAGGGATTTAATTTTACTGAACAAGCTGCTCTTGGTTCGTTTGCTTTTTAAGCAATTCGATCTCTCGTCGGAGTGATAAAGGTCAGTCTCAATATTTGCGAAGTTGGTTCGCGGCGATAACTCAGCCCTCGTTACGCCCACCCGGGGTCGTTCAATTAAAAGATAAACTGTGCATAACTCATCGTCCTACATTTGTGTGTGTGTCCTCCAAGTGGCGAGGATCCACGCTCGATAAACGTTGCGAGAGAGCAATCGACCGGGGGATTTGCGGCGATAGCGGAAGTGCCCACGATCGATCGTGGATCCTCGAATGTCCTGAGAACTGTTGTGGGTGAAAGGTGACGGACCTGCATGTCGATGAAGCTTCATTTCATTAGATTAGATGTGAAAGCGCGAGTGTCTGCGAGTGTTGCGCCGGACCGTTCGCTGCCCGTCGGCGACCGCCCACGTGTGTGCTAAAGAAATAATCGGCGACCGATTTTATCGTATCCGTAAGAGATGCCGTACGAGAACGATCTTACGGCCGTTCCGTCGATTAAGTTCTGTCACCTGTTTCGGCGTGCGGTGATCGCTGAAAGGATAGCCAAATCCTTCAGGACGTCTAAGATAGCAATTTTCGCGTTCTGTCTCGGGCAGTATTATATCTCATTAAGTGGAACGTAACAGCGTGATAAAGTTTAGAACCGCTAGTTTCGACGTGTATGATAAATTATTAATTATCAAGCATTGCCTATTTAAGAAAATAATTCGATTTGTTTGATTGTGCGTATTTCTTGACCCTATAAGGATTACACACACATAAATCTGTAAAACTCTACAAAAAGTCTTTAGCATTCTCGGGAATTTTTCTTGAGAGTCCTTGCAAGTTTATCCTTTGTATCTTGCAATTCGATGAGAAAAGTTGCATTTTGATTTTATATGAGATTTCGAATAGAAAGTAAACCAAAATATAGCCAGTAACTGGACCTATAAGCAATCCAGTTATTGGCTTTCTGATTTTCTACTTGGAATCTGTCTCGGGATTCTTCTGGAGAAAGGAGTTCGTTGAAAAACATGCATTTTTATTAAAGTTATGTACAAAAATATTCATATGTACAAAAAATATGTGCGTAGTCCTAAAATAGGATTAAATCGCGCTAAATCCTGTTGAACAGAACGTGAAAAGTAAACGCATTTTTCTAGTATGTTTATAGAGACAATCCAAGTAGATATTTTTTTTATATTATGCATATAAAAATCGCGAAATTATTATTCGATTACGTCAGAATCATCATTCTTTGCTCTATCGCGAAACGCAGTATCTATTTTTAATTTAATTACGTTGTCGTGCGTTTGCATTTACTAGTGTTAGATCATTTTGCATTATCAAAAACGGTAGCGCCCATTACCGTTCATCACTCGCGATTCTCCGATAGACCGTGAGATTTATCGGCTCGTTGTGCGCCGTCTGGTAAACCGCAAATTAACAATCCTGTCGGCTTTTCTTGTTATCCCTAGTGATTAAGGAGGCTACACACACGAGTCGTAATTAATTGCGATTTTTTTCATGGCAATTCATCCACATCATTCATCTACGTCATTATTACGCAGTGCATATCTTCAAATTAGTCTTTCTCATGCCTAATATTACATGGCTGTATGTTAAAAACATTTTAAAAACATTTTAAAAAATTGAGCATGTACAAATTTACTTTCGAGTAAAATTGTAATTTTCTTTTATATATTGCAACGCAATTTTTTCGATTTGTGATAAAAAATAATAACATATAATAAAAGAAGAAATTTTGGAACAAGAATAAAAAAGTTACATTACTGCAGTATTTTAAATGTTGAAATAGCCATCTTATAATAGCAAATTTAAACTAGCCATTAAAAAATAAGTTAAAGATGAAAAGCTGATTAAATTTCCTATTTTTTACATTTGTTCTCGATCGATACGTTCGACGTACTCATTAAGAATACTCATTATCAGCAATGCTATTCGCATATTTTCTTATTTATATTCTCAATGTCGAGACTGCGCTCAAATGAGATTTTGCATTTAATTAAAGTGCGATTTTTTTGCATTTAGTTAGCTAGAATAAACATTCTAGCTAAATAAACCACGGAATCGAACGTCTTAATAATTGTTTATATGAGAAAACAATTCAAACAAAAATTTCACACATAATACTTTATTTTACATGTTACATGTTACATAATGATTAAAAAAACGAGCAACTAATATTTACTAAAACATAATTTTTTCTGATTTCAATGCTGTTGTAATAATTGTAATAGAATAATGATTATGCTTACGTTATTTTTTCATTTTACTTTCCAAGACATGATTTAGAATAACGTGCTCTTTTTAAAATGCATATATAAAAAATACTTGTATATATAAAAATAGTAGTATCAATAAATAGGTTACAAACTAATCATGCAAATGAGTATTAAACGACAGATAAGTCTACACGAGCATCTTTAATGTCACCGGATGCGTCCCACATTTCACATTATTTATTATAGAAAGTCATCATCCTTAAGTTAAGATCGCGCTTTTATCTTTCATCGTGATTACTGCTTTATTCGTGGTCGACGATTTTGATATACGTCCGTTATACGATTCACAATTATTACATATGACTAGCCGTTAGTGCATTTAATACTAAGTAGGCAATTTTTAGTGTTAAGGTTTTTAGCGTTCAGAAAATTCATGTTTGCGACGAGTAACGTTCGCTCGACTCGTCGGTCGACAATGCAAAAATGTCAACGTGTTATCAGGATGCGTGTTTTAAGTTTCTAGTATCTTAGTTAATTAAATTTTTTCTTGAACTGTAAATTTTGAACTTTACTTCGCGGAGTTTCAAGCAAATTCAATTTGAAGCCCGAAAAACTGGCGTAATTAGATAAAGGCAGTTTAATTATCGGTTCAGTAGCGAATGCATATATTATATTTTACGCGTTAGCGTGGTTACGCCTTGTAAATAATTGCGATGACGAAATATGCACGCGATCAGAGCAGAGCGATTCACTCGCAGAGCGTATGAATCTTCATGTGCCATTAAGTATCGTTAAGCACGGCGAGGTATTCGTGCATCCTCGAGCGCGCTTTGAGTCTCTGAGTTGCTGTAAACTGTTTTTTTTTTTTCTCGTCTAAATAAACAGTAATGCGAAAACGTCAAAACAACCTTCTCATTTTCACATCATCCCGGTTACTAACTACTTTACAGCGAGCTGAACCCGGAGGAGCTCTCCCCGAGTTTGCGGCGGGCTGACACAATTTCAACCTGACGCACAATGCAAATAGCAATAATTAATCGAAGATATCCACGAGAAAATATTGCAGGCGCTAATTATTGAGAGAACTACGAAGAAATTACATAACCGCTATGTTTAATAAAATGGCTAGTGATTTCAAGCAACGTGAGTTGCGATTATAAACGATATTTTATAACGTAAAAATCAATCCTTTTTAAGTATTATCTAATTTTTATTTTACAGTTTATTTGCGGTATTACATGTTTACATCTAACGTTAAAATAGCTGAGGATATGTTTGACATGGCGCCTGAAATATTTCTTCCGGGTTCCTTTAATTTCATTTACACACGCGAGATCAGCGCTGCACAATCTAACGATCCAAACATTTATCAAGCCACGAAAGCCATCGATGCACAAACGAATGGTGGTTGGTGAGCAAGATGATTCATTCGTTGGATAGTCTGCACCCGGAGATTTAGCGGCTTTTGGTGAGTGGGACGAAAAATAAAAAAAAAAAAACTTTCTTAATGACCTCAAGAAAAATCCACGTTGAAAAAAAATTTGCACTTTTAACAAGAGCAAAGTTAATAATGCAATTATACGAGAAATCAATGTTTTAAAAAATTTGGAAATCTTGGAAGAAAAGAGCAAAAATAAATTAATAATAATTTTATACTTACTTAGCAAAAAAGTGCAATTACAAATATCTTATGATTACTTTCAGCATTTAAATATATTTCAGAGCTTACAAGACAAGCAAGATTATTCAATTTTAAATTTACTAACATACAATAGTTTTGCTAAATATCCGTGGATTTATTTTCGGTAGATCCTTGAGGCTGTAAGGATTAAAGGGAAATCCAATTTCAGGAGGTATCGATTGTTTTTAGAGCCCGTCACTATCGCGGTTTGGGCCGCGCCTCACAAAATGGTCACTCTTGCATGCAGAGTCGGGTCTGTGTCGTCGAAGGCCAGATGCCACTGGATCCACGCCCCAAAAGTTCACGTATATCAGAATTCCAGTAGGCAGCTTGCAAAAAAAACGAGGTAACACACCTTCCGCTATATATATATTATCCTTTTTATTATACGTATTCGCGTAATACACTTCTTTTATGCCGTAACGCAGGCACAGCGTGCAAATGGATTACACCACGGGTATATGCAAGCTGCTCTTCAAACCGGATCATTCCGATTTAGGACAATGGACCTGCAGATTTACCGTCAACAATGACGACGCCGATGTCGAGATAGGAAGCGCGACGCTCGTTTTGCTGAACACTTTAGCAGGTCTCTGCCAGCATTTTATTAAAATATTTCAGAAATCTATATTAATTCCTCATATTTATATTTCTTCTTAATTAAATTACACAATTGTAATTTTTAATATTTGTCGCCAACACGAGAGATAATTTTCCGCACGTCTTGTATTGCGCGCAGATGAGAAACTAGGATGGATCGTGGGGACCCTGACGGCCGTGATCCTCTTCCTGATGATAATAGTCGTGGTACTGGTGGTGTGCAAGGCGCGAATATTTATCCGTAAAACGCCCGAAATTTTGGAAACCTTACCTCCCGGCGAGAGGAAGCAGAACGCGAGATCAGGCAGCGAGAAATACACCGTGAATCAAGGGAAGATCAATTTTCAATTCGTCGAAGACAACAGTCACACCGCGAGCCTCGAAAATGTCTTGCCTAACAGAAGTCCGCGTGTGGAGAAGATTCATGGAGATGGAGTACCGTCTAAAACATACGAGAACGTTGGATTATAATAATACACCTGTGTAGTTATCAACATTTAGATGAGGACTATATTTTGTAAAAGTTACGAACGTATGAAAATTACAAACAAATGTCGATATTTTATACATGTACATATAATCTCTTTAGCAACCTTAATAAATTCAATATATATATATATATATAATTAGTACAAAGATTATGTATTCCTACAGTCTTTACTATATATTTATTAGTACAGGAGCGTTTAATTAGTAAGAAGCGAATAATTACATAAACACACACACATCCCTCTTCTTTAAAAAGGTTGTAATAAATATAACGTAAAATCAATATTCGCATCTAATTGTTGCCTCTTTTTTGTGATAAAGAGACACGACAGTGCCTCGCGCCAAGTGTAAACACCTGCGACACGGGTAAGAATAAAAGAGATTTCAAAAATAAATAATTATATTAAGTAAAAGATCATTGTATTCTTAGTGGCAACTCACGAGCAAAATCTTCGACATTAAAATTCTTTATTGGCAGAAATAAATAATATCAAATAATTAATTAAATTAGACTTGAGTTTATTATTCATTGTATAAAGAGGTTTTGACATGTATCCCATAAGTATTTTAATTAAAAAAAAAAGATATTTTTCTATAAATTTAATTGTTGAATAAAATCATTTTTTTTTTAATCTGACGATCAAATTATAGTCCATCCATTTTTGAAATAAGAAATATTTCTTATACATATATATTATTGTATGTTACTTCGTATTGTGAGTGACTGTCAGTTCATGTATTAAATTTGTTAATAGCGCATAAGTTTATCAATTACTATTCATTAATTATACATATTAATTATTTTCATAAAGTTTTTCTTCAAAAAGTGGAAGAAATTTTTAATATTATACCTTTTAAATGTTTAATTCAATACACCTGTTGTAAAGAGTATCGTGAACCGTTATAATAGTATGTTTTTACAATTCATATGTTGAAAAGATTAATATTACGCAAATCTATTAATAATACAAGTGTTGACAGACAAAAGAATAATGGTTTTATCAATTTTTCGTAATCATAGTAGCATTGCCGACCTCTCCCTGTAGAAGAAAATGATGCCAGCGAATGGCAAGATTGCGACAGAACACGAACCGCACGGACATTCTCTTTGTTTCGTCACGCATGTGTTTGTTTGCCGGCAAAACAGGGCAGATTGTGATCATTGTGAGCAATAGTATTGATAGCAATAAAAAATGCCACGAAAATGTGCAATATGTGATCGTGTGCTGATCGGTGATATATATTTTATAAATTTTTCTACTATTAAATTAATTTACATATAATGATGTAATTGTATTCAGAAAACAAACTTTGTTGAAATCAAATATAACTTGTGTCTCACAATTTTGAAAACTATTAAATAAATAATTTCACGTTTTATTAAAAATTTATAATTAAATTTGAAATTGTTGTCAATTAATATAAACGTATTAAAAATCTTTACATTTGCGAACCTTAAAATTTGAATTTTTTAATAAATAGGTGAATAAAGTTTTTGTAACAATAAAAAAAGCAACTAAAAAGTTTATAGAATATTAAAGTAAAATGAAACATTATTAAATCCATTGAAATATGAAAAAAAATAATTTTAAACTCGTTTCATTAAAGCGTGATCATCTTTATAAGCATTTAGCGATAAAATAAAAATACATATTTAGCTAGAAGCTGCTTTGATGCTTCATCATATAAAATTTAGCAAATTTTTATAGTATGATAAACAAAGATCGATGTAGGAAAAAAAAAGAAAAAAAAACAGACGCGTATATGTATGCATACAAATAAATGAATATAAATTTTTTGACTGTAATTTATTTAAAAAATATATAGTATTAGAAAATAACGCGCGCTTATAATGTTCAAATAAATACGTAGAAAAGCATCGAAAATATATTTTTACATGATAAATTATATTTGTCAGTGATTTATAGTATAGCAATATATGTATAAATATTAAACCTATTATTTAAGAGCATCTAGCTGACTTTGAATTTTCTCTAAATTGTAATACAGCTCTGTCAATTGCTTCTTGTCAAACTCCGTTGTTAACGTAGATGTTTTATCACCAGTAAGACCTAGTTGGAGCAACGCTACAGGTTGTGCATCTTTGGAAATTGCAGAAGACGATGATTGCACATTTAGGCACCAGTTGATATCTTTCACCTTAAAAAAAAAATAAAAAAGAAATATAGTTCAATATACATAAATAGTAATTTATATATAATATAGAATAAAAAAAGATATTGACATTTTTGGTCACTGAGCGATATCTTATGCCTAATATTAATTTTTTTTTTTATGAATTTCATACATTTTGCCTTTAAATATGCTTTTGGATTTGCCGATTACTATTTGGTCTTCAAATGTAGTTTTATACCAAAGATAAAAATAATTCATATTAAATAGATATATGCAATTTAATATTACTGATATTAAATGAGTATCTTATAAAGTTACAAGAAATTTATTTATAAATGAAAAATATCCCTTTAATCAGAGCTTGAACTTGAACTTTCTTCCTACTTTTTTAACGAACATCTTGTCGATTCGAATACTAAGGTTTGTAATGATATTTATCTCATGACAAACAATAAATGCTAAGAAAAGTATTATTTTTCAATTGATGTAGAAATATAGTTCATTCATTTCTCAACCACCATGATCATCAATGGATCATCATTAATTTTATAATTTATCAAACATTGTTCTTTCAACTGTATGTTAAAATACCTGAATAGGAAAAATAGACTGTTGCCTAAGATTCTCCACAATGCCTTTTCCATAAGTCATCCAGGCATTTGTAAAGATCGATATTTTCTCTTCATCTAATTTGAAATTGTCTTTCATGACTGTTTCCATGACAGATGATTTGACAACGTTACATGCAGCCTGCGTATAGATAGACGTAATAGTATCCAGCAGGACAGCTAATTCATCTTTCGTCAAATCTAACGAAACTAGCAGCTTTTCTTCTTCCTCTTCACTGAACACCTTTGTGTCAATGCTGGTCTGTAGAGTCTGGCATATGCGGTTGACGAGAAGCCGAAATTTGCTGTTATCCACTCGAGCCACTATCTTCAAACCTTGCTCCAGTCTGTTAAAACAAAAGTACAGATAAAAATTGCATGTTGCTGACAATGATAATTTATGATTAATCTAGCAGGAACGTTAAGTTATCACACATCGGGGAAAGTAGTACAGCATAAAACATAAGAAAAATAATTTTCGGAGCGTGTAAGTTTGCTTTACTGGCATTATTTTTCACCTTGTAATTAACTTAAAAGTCCGTATGCTAATAATGTTTAATTTTAATGTAATTAATGTTTACAAATTACAATAATAATATATATACTTTGTAGTTATGTTGATCCAAGCAGCCATCTTATAGGCATAGGCGAGACAAATTCTTATATATCACTTTTCTCATAATATTTCTATTGTTGTGTCATTCTCATTTCTCTCCAAAAAAAAGGATGAAACTGGCCTTGAAAAATGGATGAAACTCAGGCACGTGACGTTATGAATTCTTGACATTCCCAATTCATACTAAAACACTAAACATGCTCATGTCGCTCATTGATCATGCTTTAACCATAGATCATGTAAGATTTAGATGCTTTTATCTCAACTTGGAAAGATTACCACACAGGTTCTGCACGATTTGCACTCGATCGTGATAGTGCAGCTACCTAGGTTGCGTTCCTTTTGATGCTTAGCGCTGTAAGCATTATTGGGTGCGTTCAGCCGATACTCCGCTAGCCTAGCAATCGTGAGCAGTCGCTCGTTTTCGCTCGTTTCCGCTCGTTTCCTCTCCTTTGACCCAATGGATTAAAAGGAGAGGAAACGAGCGAGCGCTTCTGTCCAGCCAAATTTTTCCGTAGCAAATGGTAGCAAAGCGCTCGCTGCTTACGTGCGCTAGGCTAGCGGAGTATCGGCTGAACGCACCCATTATTCTATCTCCGTTGCACATTGAATATCAAATAGAGATGGAGCGACGCTTTCAGCGCTGAAAGCGTCAAAAGGAACGCAGCCCTAGTAGCCTCGGTTTTTTGTTTCGGAGAAATATTTCAAGAAATTTTTTTGCTTATCCCTTGTATAAGGGATAAGCTACTCGAACGTTCATATAGGACCGGATTGTATATTTTGACTCTTTTTGTAATAGATGAATAGGGGTTTAGCACATTTTTATTTAAAATTTTTTAATTAGAAGTTACTTTATACGATACCGAAAACGAATAATAATTCTAATGATTACAAATAATATGTAATTAAATTTTTTGCCATGATAAAAAGATGCAATTTGTAATTTACAGTTATTTCGAGATGCGTAGTCTCTTAATGCTAAAAAAGTGCAATTATCTCATATATGTTTATTTCTACCAATGTAGATTAAATTTAATCTCGGTTTAACATACATTTTATCTTTTTCTAATTCTGAGAAAAAAACAAAAAGCAAGTTAAACCGAGATTAAAGGTAATCTCCCAGGTAGCAAGATGATGTCTAAAGACGTCTTAATGACGTTAAAGGACGTTATTAAGACGGAATTAATATGTCATTTGACGTCACTCTGCTACATGGGCTGCATTGATAGAAATGGACATAAATCTGTCAAAAACAAATTTTGCAAAGTGTTTCCTACAAATTTTGTCAACAGAGAAACAACAGGATCTGTTAACAGAAATATAATAAATTACGAAAACCGAGAAGAATTTATTTCATAATTGTTAATGTCCATTTTTATTCATGTTTAGCTTTAATCTCGGTTTAACTTATTTTTCATCTTTTATTTGTTTCTCTTTCTTAGAACCGTCTCTCGATCTCTTTAATTCTTAGAACTAGAGAGAGACGGTTCTAAGAATTAGAAAGAGATAAAAAGTAAGTTAAACCGAAATTAAAGCTAATCTACATTGATAGAAATAGATATTATATTTTACTTAAAAAAGAATTCCATTTTAGAATTTTTTAATAAACAAATATTTCTGTGACAGAAACAAAATTTTCAAAACAAATTTAAATTATAATGTAATTAGGGCCAAGAATCAACTTAAGCCATAATTCATTGAAGAATTATAGAGAACCATCTTTATTTGTATTAGCTGTTGAACACATTTTACCATTTTAAATCTTAAACATACATATGTTATTACCCTCACTGATCGACAGTTATGTTTATTACATACGAAGCAAAATAATGACATTGAAAATTATATCAACTATTGTCACATTGTCACCGAAATATAATAAGGTAATTGGCGCTTTTTGAAGCTAACTCGTTACAAACTAAGAGAAACGATGACTTACATCTGACAATTACTTAATAGTTTTGAATAACATGCAAATTAGTAGTCAATTCGAGTTAATTACATCAAACGAAATTTCGAGATTTGTTAACTTTTGGCTTTTGTGTCAACTGCAGTGCTTTTATCGAATGACATACATTTTTACACATTAGCAAAATTCAAAACAAATCCTTTTCCACTCAACGTTTCTATACATACATAGGTACAACATGTGAAAACCGAGGTAAGATAAATTATATGTATACTGTGCCTTCGTTGTAATTAAAATAAAAAGAATTTTATTTCAATTTAAAAAAAATCACGACCAATTTGACGAAATTGTATAATGGATTTATTCAGTGCTAAACATTGCTTTTTTCGAGTGTTCTCCATCGTTTAAAAAAAAAAATATTTACTCATAAACACATACTATGTGTTAGTAGAGCTTAACACGTTACAATTTATCTAAAGTCGAGATAAACTATTCCGATTTCCTCGCTTCCTGCAAAAGTTACAGTTCACATAAATAAAATATTGTGAAACACACGCAATGTTAGCTATATAAATGACGCTCTTTTAAGGTTTTCCGTCGGCGAACAGTCATAGCGTTACAAGTCAATCTATTTTTCGGGAATGTATTTTGATTCGCAGAAAAATATCAGTATTCTATCTCCGATGTATAGTCCAAGGTGTGTATGTGTCTATAGGTATAAGATACAATGTGTGTCCGTGCGTCGGAAACAATGAGGACTAGCAAGTAGGTGGAGATATTATGTTGCACAAATGTACCCATTTTCCAGACACCGCACCGTCGTTTTTTTTTGTTTTTTGATGAATTAGAAATATATTATTTCTAAACGTTATCGGTATATTTCCTTATCTTAGGATTCTAACGCTAAGTGAATATATATGTATGCACGTGGATGCCAGTACAGAGAACACGTTTTGTTTATGTTTTACATTACATTAAATGTAATAATCGCGATATTTTCTCGAAAAATATCGGCCTCGTGTTGCTATTGCCAATTAACAATTGCAAGAAATACTATGGGAGACACACACAATCATCCTGAACACAGAAAGTTCTTAATGCAATAAACGTTAAAATGTTCTTTTTGTTTTTTTTTCTTCTTTTTTTTCTTTTTATGCTCGCCATCTTCTCTCTGAAAATGCACAGATCTGCCCTGGCTTCACACTCGGTAGTTAAAATTGCATCTATAGATTAGGTCTGTCTGTCAATAATAAACATGAGAGAATATTAGGCCGTGGCCTCCTCCGCGTCGCCGTTATTCTCGGCCTCGGCGCACTTCTCATCGAGTCTCGACTTCTTCTCGGGACTCGCGCCGTCCGCTGCATCCTCCACTGCATCGGCTGCGGCCGTTGATTTCCTCTTTACGCAGCAACTATCGGCTGGAGCATCTGAAGTCGCAAGCAGAAAGATAGATACATTACTACACCGTGGAGCTCTTTCCTTTTTTTAAATGCAGGTATGACAAAAGTGTCCTTCAATAATACCTGTCGAGTCTCCATTTTCCGTAGATTCTGCTTCTTTCTCATCGGATTCCTTCTCCTCGCTCGAGCCATTCTCTTTGGTTTCCTTTGTATCCCCATTTTCAGATGCTTTCGAATCCTCGTCAATCTCCTCCTGCACCACCACCTTCTCCTCTTCCTTCTCCTGCACTACCTTCTTCTGAGGAGTAGTGACTTTTGTTTCCCTGAAAATCACAATGTAGATATAGTATTCTACTATACTATACTGAATAATGTATTAAACGCTCTATGTATAAATACAGACTATGTGTGTAACTAATCCTTTTGTTTCGTAAATTAAACATTGATTAGAAAAGCATATATTCTACAATCCAAAGTAACTTTACTAATAATTAATAGGATCATTTTTCGTTTAAATTATCATGTAACTGTAACTTATCATTAATACAATATTGATACAAGAAATAATAAATCAGAATGATACAAGACTAAATCATGACAAATAAGTTATAATCGATCACAGACAAGCAAGATTCTCTAATAAACAAATTATTGGACTACGAAAACACGCAGCAAAATTAATTCTTATCCCAACGAAAGCGATCGTCTTATAACACTAATGCCGAGAACCGTGACGGAACTGCGATAAAAACTGCGGGGATTCGCGCGATATACATTTCCCGTGTTTAAAATCCGGCGAAGCCGTCGCTGGCGCGCTCCAGCCTCGGGTATTTGCTGCCGTTTCACATTGCTTGGCTGGCAACAAGGACGGCGGCGGCGAACCGAGAGAAATAGAGATAGGACGCCGCCAACGGTGGCGGCATCTAGCGAGTTTAATATTATACCCTCCCCCCGCGACCCACCCGCCCATCGCGGGTTCGCTCGCCCCTCGCGTCGCCGACCGCCGCGACCGCCATTACTACCACCGTTGCACCGCGCTTTGCGCGATCACCACCAAGTCCACACCGACGAGGGCTTCAGCGTGGCGAATCGTTGGACGCTCGCGCTCGCGGTCGTAAACGCGGCGTAATACGTAACGCGGCGATCTAACACGCGTCCTTTTACACGGCTCTCGACGTCGTGTACCTCACGCGAAGGATGCCGTTATACTCCTAGAACGTCTTCACGGTCTCGCGACCGCGGGACGGGGGATCGGAAAACCGGTACATAATTGAAAACCGATCGAGGGATAAATATAGAGACGGACGTCCCTCTTTCGCGCGTCTCTTATCATGTCGAGAAGTCTCTTCCGGAGATTATACCGGTTTTGCCCCCGCGGAGGATTCCCCGTGGGCAAGCGATTCTATCGCGCCGATAGAATCTCCGTCGTCGTCGTCGTCGTCATCATCGCCGGCTACGTCTAATCGACGCGAGCCGGCAGGATCGATAATACACGTCGTCGACCGCTTTCGGGCCGAAGCGCGGAGACGAAGGAAGGAAGGAAGGGACGGCAACGATTTCTCTCGTCGAGTGCGAGCGAGGGAGAAAGTCACGTGAAAGAGAGAGAGGAGCCGAGACGAAGGGATCGTCCTCGCACGTACTCGCTCGTCTTCCTCGAGACCTCGAGAGGGTGGTTGCCGGAAAAAAAAAAACGACGCGTGCGTTGCGCGTACGTGCGTGTGTATACGTGTTGTGTGTATACACCCGTACGTACGCGCGCGCGCGCGCGCGTACATATACATAGACGACGTAAACAAACGAGCGAAGTGGTCGAGGGACAAAAGGAAGACGAGGCCGCCGCCATCGCCATCGCCATCGCCGCCGATGCGCTCGTCTTCGATCGTGCGCGGGCGGACGGTCGCGGGGAGGGTACGGGGAGTCGAGAGCAGAGAGAGAGAAAGAGAGATCCAGCGCGGGACAAGACTATGCCGCCATAAAACCGCCGCAAGTAGAGCACGCGTCGGATCGGATCGCGTCGTCGTCCGTCGTCGCGCGGCGGCGGCGGCAAGGGCAGGCAGGTAATTTCCAGCGATCGTTAGGCGTACCGCGAATCGGCCCGAGAGTATTGTCGCGCGACGCGGCGAGAGATAGAGAGAGAGAAGGAGAGACGGAGAGGGGCATCGCTCGCTTAGTCGTTCTCCCCCCCTGCGCGCCGACCGCACGCCACCCCTTCCTCTCTCCTCGTGGCTCGCCAACCTTTCTCGTCGTCGTCTCCGCGATAATTCGAAAGCGATCGACCAAGGGCGACGAGGAAACGACGACGACGACGACGACGACGTCGTCGTCGGCAACGGAGGACGCAGATCGCGGCGATCGGCGAGAAACAGGCTTGGCGCGCGGGCGAACGAACGCGAGGGGGAAACCGACGCCGTATATACGCGCGATTTTTCCGCCGTCGAATCGATAGCCGCCGTTCACCCCGCGTACTCTCACGCAAGACCGGCATGTATATTACTTACTTGACCTCCGTGTCCGCCATACCGATCGATTCTTGATCGTGAGAAATCCACGCACGTTACCGCACACGAACCCGTGTAGAGCACACCTCAACCGACACGGCGGTTACGCGTCTTCTACGCACCGGTAAGCACACGTCGAGAGATTCCGGTAACACCGCTGCCGCGTACCGACGCGCAAATGGCAGAGGGAAACGCGCACTGATTCGCCCGAGACCCGAGCGACTCTCCGGCCCGGCCGGCGGGCCGGCGGCCTTCGAAACGCTTTTCTTTCCCGCTCGTTTACAGATGGCGCGCCACGCGCCGTCGCCGGTCACACGCGCGCGCGCCGCGCTAGAGTCTACAAGGGAAAACCGGGCCAGAGCTCCGTTGGAAACGCAATAACGCAAAAGAGAAATAAAAGAGAAATATTAGAGACATCTGGCAAAATAATATCCAACATTCGCATGACGCGTAATGTCGTCGCATCAGCATATTTTTTTATTAAATATTTAACAGCGGACATTATTTTATAATAATCGAAAATAAATAACGTAACACGTTCCGCGATTCACCAAGTACAATTTTAAATTAATTTTTTATGGGCAGAAAGGCGATTTTTCTCTTTGTTTATAAAGATAATATTATGCGGCCGTGACACGATACATTATTAATTTCGTATCCATAATGTGGCAAATTGAATCAACTCGAAGGTTGTATCCGTGGTATCGATCCCATTCCTCATTCCTATACATCGAAATACGTTTATTGCGGATGAACCGTTATATTTATTCCTTTGTTCCTCATGTCTTATTCAGTGTGTCTCGGTCTTTGCCACCGTTGTACGTACGTATGTACGATTCTCGCGCGCGGTATCATCTACGAAGCTGTCGTTCGCATATTAAGCATGCCGACCCTGTCAAACCGTGCGCGCATTTTTGTGAATCCATCGGGAAGAATTATTCCAGGGAACGTCAATATTTGGATCTCAAGCGCGAATCGTGATCGGCGGCAACGGTGAGTAGAAGTAGTCGTCAACGATACTTCCGACCGGGTTAGACATCGGGGAAAGATCGCGTTCGAAAGCATCGACGGAAACACGCCCGATCGCCACCCACGCCGACGAGAGCGATCGAAAGCGAGCGAGAAAATAAGGGAAATTACGACGGTCGCGAACACGGCCATTCGATTATTCGCGGCACGAAGCCTCTCGGTACGGCGACGGCAGCGCCATCGTCGTTATCATCTCGATGTTTCGACGGTTCCCCCACTCCCCTCGCTCTCCTCCCCTCCCACCCCGAACGGCCTTCTCTTCCTACCTCGGCGGCTCGTCCAATTAGATCCCACCTTGCGTCGAAAAATACGCGCGCGCTTCCGGCGTGCGCGTCGGCCGGCTTATTTTACGCGGACGGATCGTGTTTCGCCTCGCGCGAAAAACATCCGACTTCGCGCCGCGTTGAGAATGACTCGCCGATATCGATTAGGTCGTGACTCTCGCGCTCGCGATCGTACGACATTCCGACCAACTCCGAACTCCGATGAGAGGCCTGAGAGGGTCGCGGCGTCTCCTCGCGCGATAGCGCGCAAGCACGTTCGTGCGCGCGCGACGCGCTTGGGAAAGTTCTAGAAGTTTCGCGGTATGGCAGCGCTTCCGGTGTGCGGGAAAGGTGCGCGACGCGGAGCGGCTTGGCGCATCGCTGCCCGCCCCGCGTCCATGTTACAGGTTGCCCCTCGGCCGCTCTCGATAAAACGCGAGATTTCCCTCGTGGCAACACGACGCTGCAATAACCGTCCACCGCCGCGCCGCCGCCGCCGCCGCTCGCCGGAGAAATCGGCTGCCCCCTCAAGCGGAGACCGTTCGATCTCTTTTTAGGAACAGGTTCCGTTTAAGTTGTCCCTAGGCTTCCGCTTTCTTCGAGTATTTCGTATCACGATGAGGGAGTGAAGAGGGAGGGGGGCAGGGTCATCTCACACGAGGAAATGTATAAAACTATTTCCCTAGAGACCTGACTGTCTGACATTCAATTCAGGACATGGTTATATTATATTGTCGCGATAATCGTGCTTTGTGAGGCGTAATCGTGTTAGTTTCGCTAATTTCATAGCCGAATGCCTTTACGGTAAATATGAAAGCCGAGTAACAAATCTCTCCACAATTTCCTATTTTAGTCCTCGCGAAGAACGCGATGAAAATATATTAATAGGAAACGCGTATTCTGAAAATAATAATGTATTTTTCCGAGAAACGCCCCTCTCGAAAGAAATCCAATGGCATACTCGAGATAATTTATTATTAATCGCGTTGTCGCGCGGAGCGCGAGCGCATGGTATTTGGCCACGCTTGCGGCAACGTGCCGCCGCCGCGCCGCCACACACCGCCCGTTCCGTAAATATATTTTTTGTTCTGGCACACGTGCCGGCGGGTTCACGTAAGCACGAAGATAACCGGAGCGAGCGAGCAGCTGCCCCGTGCACCGTGCGCGCAGGTGAGGCGAAACGGCCAGATGCCTCCTTCCCGAGCATCTTTTGGACGAAACCGACTCCGGTCCGGGTGTACATCTATATACACTCCAGAACTGTACGGAGTTTTCGACGGGACTTTCACAGGGGAAAGCAACGCGCGGCATATAATACGCGTGCGCCCGCAGCGAGAGGGGAATATTCTCCTTCTCGCTCTCACTTTCTCTCCCTCCCTCTCCCTCTCTCTCTCTCTCTTTCTCTTTTTCTTTCTGTTGCTCCCTTCTCTTCGCTCTCTCTTTCTCCGGCTGTCTCCCACGCGCTTCCGTCGAGGCTGAAATTCGCGGCGGTCGCTCGCGGCTCGTCCCCCTTCTTCCTTTCGGCGTCTTTACGTAACGTAAGCGCCCGTCGTAATAAATTAACGATATTTGCTTTGTCGATCGTAATGAGGATTATCCGTCTGTCCGATACAACCGTTCCAGCGGCGGATCGGCGGACCACCTCGAAAACTAGGTAGCCCGATAAGGGCCGTGCCCCCCGCGTTTTCCCACGCGTCCCGCGCCCTGCGACCGCGATCTATTCCGACGGCGGTAACCTATATTCGCCAGTGGCAACACTTTTGCCACCACTGTGTCGGGGCTGCTAAAAATAGTCCGACGCGCGCATCTAAATTTTCATTTCGCTGGACTGAATTCCGCTTCGCGACCGGTGTGTCGCTCTTATTATGCACTTCACCGTGCACTTTCGGGTCTAGGTTCCCGAGTACTCGTCGCGCTCACGTTCTCTCGCGGGAACGTAACAAAGCGAGAAAGAAAGAGTGCGTGAGGGAGGGCGGGGGGAGAGGGGAGGAATCAGAATTAGAAGTGGAAATACACTTGGGTGGCGGTCGACATGTATTTCCAGCAGGGGCCTACATACGAATACGATTTATTAATAGCGCCCCGAATAAATACCGCCCCAAGGATACGCGCGTCGAGTACCTTATATATTGCGTTTTTGCGCGACGGTCGCAAAGTCGCTCCGCGCGTGAAAGCGCGCGCGTAGCGTAAAGAAACCTATCAAAGAAATCTGCATAATGAAGTCGGTATATATTGAGATCTCGGGGGCAGATATATTCCCTCGGCTTGAGACGACAGATCCCGTCATCGTGGATTACACGTTGATATATATGTATATCGAGATGACGAAAGGGAATGGATTATCGATTGCGTGGCTGACATTAAAATGGTGGAAAAGTGCCACGCGATTCACATCTGTGGGATCCCGAAGTAACTAAAAATCTACGTCGGGTGAGGCTTCTCGCGTGCACCTTTGGTGAATAATGTATGAGTCTCGGTCTCGGAAGATTTCGAGACTGATTTCCCAATTGTACTCGCGTATAGATTCGACGAGGATCGAGAAATGCTCGTTTTATTCGGGATCCCATATCTTTTTCCCAGACGAGACGTTTCCACGTAAGGAAAGGCGCGCTTTTCCTTCGACAAATTGGCTCGCCGCTTCGAGTCATGAAATCAATAGAGAGCGGGTGGACGCGCGCATCCCATAGGGTAGAATCAAACCGAGCTTAACCCTAAACAGTATGGGCGAGCTCCTATCGGCCCCTTTATGTATATCCGACGCATGTTGGAACACGCAAACAAGAGTGGTATATATATATACATGCAAATTGTGTGGATCATCTTCGCGATACGGGGCACGTGGCATGGAACACAAACAATGCGCACATAGGCACATGTAAACCCAAGAATCCATAAAGAAGGCTCGAAGTCGCAGTAAATGTCTGCGTTGCATGTCTGCGTACTTTAACATATTTATGAAATTGTTGTTCAATATAAAAAGTAATAAAGGAGATAAAAGGGGCTAATGAACCACAAGCTGGATGTACATGCTAAAAATGCATTATATTGTTATAATTTAGATAAACAGCGTAACATACGTTTCGATCTGAAATAAGGCCATCTTCAGTGCATTATAATAAAAACCGTATTCTTATCTAATAATATTTTTATATCTATTATAAATATTCTTATCTTCACGTACTTAATATCCTTGCTTCCCGTTATTGGCGTATACCATTGGCTCGACCGGTTCGTCTCGACCCGATATCTATCGTGATTTGGCGCGATTAATTAATCAGACGATTCGGCGGTATATAAATTTCTCGGGTGTAGCCGTAAAACTTGCGCGCCTGGCTACCTCTTTTCTTCTCTTCTCTTTATCCAGGCCTTTATCGCGTGACGTTCAGAGCGCGGCGGTGCTACATACAAAAATGCCGCCGTGTATTCGAGCTGGCCTGACCCGGTCGCACCTTTTTGACTCGCGAGCAACCGGTTCGCGATCGCGTCCCGTCTTCCTCTCTCGCCCATCCTCGCCCCCATCCCTCAGCCTCTCCGTCTCTTTCTCTCTCCCTAGCACTCGATACCTCTCTTCCTCTCTCTCTTTTTCTCTCTCCCGCCTGGCCTGGCGCTTTCCCGTCGGTCGACCGTTCTAAAACCGCGCCGCCTCTGTCTACAGTTGGGAACTAATCGGCAAAGGATTATCACAGGTCAGCGGGTGTTCAACCTTCCGTACACCTACCTACCCACGGTTCGATACCGCGATACTCAGTATCCGATCATTATTAATAGCCCGACGCCGCCATTACCGTCGCCGCATCATCGCCACCAATCGCCACCGCCGTCGAAACCCTCGGAAACGCTGCGACGATCATCCTCGCCGCGCGGAGTCTATTCGAACCAACGCCGGGCCGCCTTTCCGAGCTTTCGAACCGGTTCCCCCGTTGACGTGACTGACAGCAACAAGTCACGTCTGTTATCCTCCGACCGCGGTGTTCCGCGTCGCGCGATGGCGACACGACATTTGTAGGGCCCGCACGTAAAGCCGACCGATTTATTCGGCGCGCTCGCTTTTAATATGTATTCCCACCGAAAACAATCGGACGAGGTATTTTGGACGATTGTAGCGTTCCCACGGAAGAATATATACATATATATATACACACATATATATAATGAAAGAGAGTTATACGCTCTTACGTAAACACTCTCGAAGCCTACTCTCGTCTAATAATTTCGCGTGTGTATCGGATTAGAACGGTCGATTTCACTCATACAATAGTCGGTCTGTTTTATCTTCGAGCACCGCGGCCGCGATGAAACCTCTCGCGTGCGGCGGTACGCGTCGTTCGCAAAATTATTGTACGCGAAGTGCTCTGCCTCGGTGCTCGTTTCAATATTGCTCGTATTCATGGATGTGACTCGCTCGACCTCTCTCCCAATTCGATAATCCTGAGATAAGAAATACTATTATGATAGAGCGCGCGCGCGCGGACTGTTTTTCTCGATCCCCACGGAGAGCTCGGTTTCTCAACACAAACTGTGGCTGGCTGAAAGAGATATCTCTCAAAGAAATTAAATTAAAGAGATGAGTGAAGAGGTAGACGAGCCGCGAAATAGAATTATGGATGAACGTCGGTGTTGTCGAGAGAAAAAGGACTTGGAGCGATCGAAAGGGACTTGTCGACGAAATATTCAGTTTAAACTGTCATTGCAATGTTTAACAGAATTTATAATGTTTAGATTATATCATTTAGAGATTGTCATGCATTATCTATCTTAGCAACTTTTTTGCGTACAATGATTTTTTGGCGTTTAGCTAGAACACTAGAGCGTATTCAAATTCGCCTATCAGTTTTCGGATCTAGAATGCAAACACAAAGTACAGCGACACAACCGAGAAGTGAAGAAGCAAGTATATAACGCCGGAGAAAGAATTCGCTCAGACGTTCGCGATATCTCGGAATGAAAGAGGAAAGAGAAAGAAAGAAAATTTTTGTTATCGCGATATATGTCGGGCGCGGCGTTAGATTGCCGGCGATAATTCTCGCGGTTACGCGTGTGTCTGCGCTTTTCGAGAGTGCGTTTCCCAAGCGATAAGTCGCGCCCGGGAATCCGACGTGACGTTATCCGCGAAGGAGATAAAAGCGCGGTCGCGCCGCCGAAAGTGCGTGCGCGCGTATGGTTTTCAGCGGTTCCAAAATTTCAAAAGCAACCTTGACGGCGGAGCGACATAAGTTTTTCGGTCGGCTGACTCAGAGAGCTGCCATTCTCGTTGTCGAGGAACGTGACACAATCGTCTTCTCGGAGCGCTCGTTGCGCGATCAGGGCCGGCTCGTGGCACGTCCGGGGCCCCGAACGGTCCCCGGGTTTCGGAAAGAGAGACTCCGGCGGGAATGTCGACGAAATGGGGTCATGGCTGTTTCCAAACTCGAGCGTATTTCGAAAGAACGGTCCTCTCCAAGAAAAGTCTCTTTTAGTGTGGAAATAACATTCTCCGATAACAAATTCTCCGACAAAAGCATTGTCGGAACGATTAGGTAATATAAGTATGACTAATACTAATTTTTATGTATAACCTGCTATCTTAAAAAGGATGTTGGAGTAAAATAGAAGAAACAGCAGTATTAGTGATCACATATATCTTTCATTAATTTTTACTTAATTAAATACGTGAAATATGATCGATATAATATAAAATCAATTAGGAAAAACGCCATTTTACATAAAATTCACACGAACAACATTATTAGATTACAAAAATCCAGTCCTGACTGTAAAGTGGGATTTTTCCTCTAGCAATAAGATTCTATATTTAAATATTCATATATACATTTTTCCCGATCTTTTTAAGATTGCCTTCGATTAAATTTGTATTCAAATTATCAGAATATTGGCGCGACGCAAGTTATTTCAGTTTCGATAATGGTAAATGTTTAGTATAACGCTCTCCTCTCCGATTTTCTTAAAACTTTGTAAAATTGTTTATTTCTGTGTGTAAAAAACATTCTGAGAAGGAAAATCGTCGCTCAGGTCTCGTTTTTTTAAAATTTAATTTCAAAGATATTTTGTATTTAATTAGCAGACAGTTGTCACGTGACCTTCAAATGAAGTATTTAAAAAACGTAAATTATCATTTTCCTACCTTACCAACATCAAAACTTTGAAATTAAATTTAAAAAAAAACGAGACCTGAGCGACGATTTTCCTTCTCATTGTCAGAATGTTTTTTACACACGGAAATAAACAATTTTACAAAGTTGTAAGAAAATCGGAGGGGAGAGCGTTATACTAAACATTTACCCGCTTCTGTACGCGCGTATCGCGTGACGTTGCGCGCGGACGTCGCCGGTCGCGGCGGGTCGCCGAGATGGCGGCCGTTCGGCCGAGCTCGGGTCGGCTCGGCTCGGCTCGGCCGCAGCTTCGGTTCCGGGCGGCGGCAGCACCGGCCGAGTCCGCGCGCCGCCCGTACGACGCTACATCTCTCGGCGGCGCGTCGAAGCAACAGCTGACCCACGGCGCACAGTAGCTCTCTCGCCTCCTGGAGCGGCACCTCGTCACTTTCGCACTCGTGCGAAAAACCCCCCCGAACGTACGAGCGGTGGAGGAGTCGCGTCGCCATCTTTAGGCACGGTTGTATCCCATCGGCCCGCCGTGTCTCCGTCGACGTCATCGCCGTCGCCGTCGCCGTCGCCGTCGCTGGGCCGTCGACGGCACACAATCGTGCAAGTTACTTTGGAGCGCGCCGTGTGCGCCTCCGTGGACACGCGACCGCGACGCGACGCCGGGAAAAAAACGCGAGAGCGAATCTCCGAAATATAAGTATATCGACTGTGCCGCCCCGTTCGCCGTCGCGCTTCGATTTACATTAAACGTGCCGGGGCGCGAGAAAGAGACGAGGAGAAGGTGCGCGGATCGCTCTGTCCTCTCCGTTTTTTTCGCTACTCGTCTGGCGAACGTCACGAGGAAGGACACACGACCGCGGTTGAGAGACGAGGACTGGCGAGAGTGGTGAGTACGAGCGGAGCGAGCGGTTCGGTCGGTCAGGACGTCGCCGTCGCCGTCGTCGGAGCGCCGTTCGGCCGTCTGCAATTTCGCCGCCTTCGTTCCCTGCCTGCGTGTCGTTTCGCGTGCAAAAAGAAGCTCGAGCTTCGCCGCCGGGCTCTGCGCGCGCGACCATCACACAGTGAAACTCGGTGCTGGGTGACTGCTCCGCTCGCGTCGGCCAGCGCACGGGCCACGGGACACACGGGAGCGGGTAGGCGAGAGATACCTGAGATCGCGGTGCCCGAAACGGAGCGGGCCGGATAGGAGAGACGGACACTCGTGCCGTGCCCGACGGACGGACAGGCCGTGTTATCCGCGGGCGGAAGGGCGAGGGAAGGAGAGAGAAACGGCATCCCGCCGCCGCCGTCGCCGCCGCCGAGCAACGACGACGGACTGGTACAATTGACAGAGAAGATGGCGCGAGCCGTGGACGAGGATCGCTGCTGACCCATTTTTTTCTGACGCGCCAAATCACCGGGAGTCGGGGGCCCCCTCGCCGAAGGACGACGACGACGGAGGAGGAGGAGGAGTCTCTCCCTCGCCTCCCTCTCCCCTCTCTCTGGCTCTCACTCGCACTCGCGCTTTGATGTGGGCGAGCGTCGTTCGCGGTGCCTGGTGACGTTCGCCGGGAGGAATATACTCGGCGACAGCGGGGAAGGAAGCCGTAGGAGTGTGAGAGAGAGAGTGAGAGAGAGAGAGGAAAGAGCCCAGAGGCGCGCGGAGTCCGGAGTTGCGCCGGGCCGGGAGGGTGCCGCTCTCTCGCGTCGCGCTCGCGCTCGCGCTCGCGCGCGCGCTACTACTTCACCCCCCCCTTGCGTGTGTGTGTTTTGTGTGTGGCCTGTTTTTTCTACCGTGTGAATAATACTCGCGCGAGTGTACGTGTTTTAACCCGTCTCTCCGGCTCTCTTTCCCCCCTCGCCGCCCACCCCCCGTGTATACCCTACGAGATCTCCGGGGGTCCACCTGTCCGACGGCGGCGGTGCCCCGCGTGCCGCGTCGCGTTTACCCGATCTCTGGGTACGTGGACGATATCTCGCGAGGGGATAAGGACGATAAGGGAGACCCTCGTCTTCGTAAGTTGTCATTATCGTCGGTGCGCGGACGTTTCGCGTTGACCCGCCACGAAGAGAAGACGTCGTGGGGCCGATCGGCAGCGCGTGTTAGAAGGTGGCAAAAATTCTGAGAAGATCGGAGCTCGGCGGAGCCCTGGCAGGCTCATCGGCGGCTGCGGACGCGGACGTACGCCGACGGAGACGTAGCAGTCCTCTGGATTACCTCAAGTCCCGTGGTGCTGCTCTGGCAGACGCGGGCATCAGCGCGGCAGCTAAGATGGGCAACAATGCCGCGACCGCCAACAAGAAGGTCGACGCCGCCGAGAGCGTCAAGGAGTTCCTCGACAAGGCGAAGAAGGAGTTCGAGGACAAGTGGAAGAAGAACCCGACCAACACCGCCGGGCTGGACGACTTCGAGCGGATCAAGACCCTGGGCACCGGCTCGTTCGGCCGCGTAATGATCGTCCAGCACAAGCCCACCAAGGAGTACTACGCCATGAAGATACTCGACAAGCAGAAGGTCGTCAAGCTGAAGCAGGTCGAGCACACGCTCAACGAGAAGAGGATACTGCAGGCGATCAGTTTTCCATTCCTCGTATCGTTGCGCTTTCACTTCAAGGACAACTCTTACCTGTACATGGTGCTCGAGTACGTGCCCGGCGGCGAGATGTTCAGCCACCTGCGCAAGGTCGGTCGCTTCTCGGAGCCGCACTCGCGCTTCTACGCGGCCCAGATCGTCCTCGCGTTCGAGTACCTCCACTACCTCGATCTCATCTACCGGGATCTCAAGCCGGAGAATCTGCTCATCGACTCGCAGGGCTATCTCAAGGTCACCGATTTCGGCTTCGCCAAGAGAGTGCAGGGACGGACGTGGACTCTGTGCGGCACGCCCGAGTATCTCGCCCCCGAGATCATCCTCAGCAAGGGCTACAACAAGGCGGTGGACTGGTGGGCGCTGGGCGTGCTGGTCTACGAGATGGCCGCTGGCTATCCGCCATTCTTCGCCGACCAGCCGATCCAGATCTACGAGAAGATCGTGAGCGGCAAGCCGCGCTTCCCGTCCCACTTCGGTTCCGACCTCAAGGACCTGCTGCGCAATCTGCTCCAGGTCGACCTCACCAAGAGGTACGGCAACCTCAAGGCGGGCGTCAACGACATCAAGGGCCACAAGTGGTTCGCCAGCACCGACTGGATAGCCGTCTTCCAGAAGCGAATAGAGGCGCCGTTCATACCGCGCTGCAAGGGACCAGGCGACACCAGCAATTTCGACGACTACGAGGAGGAGACCCTGAGGATCTCGCTGACGGAGAAGTGCGCCAAGGAGTTCGCCGAGTTTTGAACGCTGCGCCGGCTCGGCAGATTATTGCTTGCAACAGCAGGTGGATACGCAACGTCGTGGTCGCGTCTCATCGTCGCAGAGCCGACGCGGCACGGCGCTCCTTCGTCATCGCCGTCGTCACGTTGGTGATTCGCTTTTTTTGCGAAAAAAAGAGAGAGAGAGCGAGCGAAAGAGAGAGAGAGTTAAAGAACGGAAGAGAGAAAGAGTGAAAGAGCGAAGGGTGCATCTGTGTGTCAGCGCGCGCGCGTATATCCGCGTTTAACGAAAGCACTCGAAAGCCAGGCAAATCGGAGTGAGCTTTTTTTTTTGGGGGGGGGGGGCGAAGTTTCTCGCAAGCGATCCTGGAAGGAAGAGGGGGGGAGGGAGATATAGAGAGGGAGAGAAAGAGCACGTGGCAATTCGCGCGTTTCATTGCGACCGAACTCGCTAGACATGAGAGAGAAGGTTGATACGGGACGTTTACACGCTGGCGTTCAAACGTCCAAAAATTGTATACACACATAATTTTTGGTTGTTACATATATAGTTACATATATATACGTCACACGCCAGCATCACTTTTTACATGAAGAAATCTTTTTTTAGCCGGTTAATCGATTCATTAACGTAATGTAAGGACTGTATACTATATATATATACATATATACATATATATATACATACATATATATTATATATGTGTGTGTATCCGTTCGCCACTCTCGTATTCCTCTATGCCCCCTCGTCCTCCCTCGCGCCCCCCTGCCATCCATTGACGATAGCTTTATGATCCGGTTTACGGAGGAGGCCGTGTGTAAAGTTTGTTCCCAATGATTAACTGTTATCAGCGTCGGAAATGTCACCGTACCGAAGTTACCTTGTACATATAGTCTCTCGTTGTCTTTGCGAACGTTTCCTATCTCCTCCGTTCCTTCGTCCGTCCCCCTGCCCCTGCCCC